CTTTTAGCCCCTAGAATCAGCTACAAGTGACAGTTGATCATGACAATTCTTTTAAGTAATTTTTGAGTCTATTAAGCTGAAAGTCATACCTAGGAAGTTTGAAAGAGAATTTTAATGCAGTTAGAAATCCATTCCCCTTGTGTATATCAGGCTTTGCCCCTCCCTCTGAAATAAGTATATGAGGCAATAAAACTTTATGATACAATCCATTCCCCTTGTGTATATCAGGCTTTGCCCCTCCCTCTTTGAAATAAGTATATGAGGCAATAGAACTTTATGATACGTTTCATAGACTATGTATATCCTTTTAGCTAATCTATTATTGTCAGGATGCTATTGAGATGAACTTGGCTTGGATTATGGCATTCCAAACGAGATAAAATTTCATGAATTAATTTTGAGTTTGAGGGCTTAAGTTCTGTAATTTTTCTCTTTATGCTAGTTGCCCAATGCCTCTTTGTGGTGAAGTATCTTTATCTGTTTTCCCTCCTTGTGTAAAAGACGAAGGCATTTTATGGCTTTTCTGGATATATTTCCTTGGTAAAAAGTATGAATAATAAATAATAGTAAATTGTCTTCCTGGATTATCATCTTTCTTTCTCCCTCTTGTATATATCATTGTCAATTTAATTTTCCAATAAATAATGTCATGCTAGTTAGTTTCCTTTTGAATTGAGGGCATATCAGAAATAGGCTCTTTGTAGCTATTTACACTTGTTTGTTGATTCCATTCCCTTTATATTGCCTTGGGATGGGGGCATTTGGCCTTATTAGAGCCTGAGTGCTATTTGGATGATTGGTAAAGTTTTGGTGGCGTAGACTGCATACTGACTGACTGTGTGTAAAACGTAAAAGGACCAGATTGCAAATTAATGGAGTATTGAAAATTTTGCATAAAATAGTGAACTAGCTATCGACTGACATAAACATATTTACTAATTCTAACAAAAAGATGGCATAATGTTTCCCTTGTATAGAAAAGACCGTCTCATCCAGCTTTATCGTTTACTTTGCTATTAAAATGAGAATTCTGCGAATCACACGTACGGAAAACTATATAATGTTAATTTTGCTGTTCCTCAAATTTATTTGCTTGAATATTTTTTTTTTCCAGGATTTTTTGGAAGATTTATGGAGTCGAATCCAAGATGCATCCAACAATGGGTGGAAACTCGAAAGTATTCCACGGCCCTACCTCTCTTTTGAAGCTCAGCTTGTAGCTGGAAAGTCTCATGATTTTGGTCCCATTAATTGCCCTGAGCAGCCAAGATTGCCGGCTACTGCTTCCAGTGTCAGCTATGGTAGACAGAAGCATGATGCCGATCTAAAATACCCGCAAAGAATTCGCAAGCTGAATATATTCCCTCAAAATAAACTGGAGGATTTGGCACCTATAGATCAGTTCATTATGGAAGAGTATCTGTTAGACATTTTGCTGTTCCTGAATGGTTGTCGGAAGGAATGTGCTGCTTATATGGCTGGCCTTCCTGTACCCTTTCGTTATGAGTACCTCATGGCAGAGACTGTCTTCTCACAGCTCCTTTTACTTCCTCAACCACGATTTAAACCAATATATTATGCTCTGGTTATCATGGATCTTTGTAAGGCTCTGCCTGGAGCATTCCCTGCAGTTGTAGCTGGTGCAGTACGTGCTCTTTTTGACAAGATTGCTGAACTGGATATGGAATGCCGAACAAGACTCATTCTTTGGTTCTCACATCATCTATCTAATTTTCAATTCATTTGGCCCTGGGAAGAATGGGCCTACGTCTTGGAGCTTCCAAAGTGGGCTCCTCAACGTGTATTCGTTCAGGAGGTTCTGGAAAGAGAAGTTCGATTGTCTTACTTGGAGAAAATAAAGCAAAGTATTGAAAATGCCCCTGGCCTAGAAGAGTTGCTTCCTCCAAAGGGTGGTCCAAACTTCAGATACAATGCAGAAAATGGCAGAAACAAACCTGAGTGGCTTGCATTGTCTGAAGACCTTAATGGCATGGTTAGAGGTAGGCAAACTGCAAGGGAAATCATATCATGGATAGATGAAAATGTGGTTCCTGTGCATGGATTGGAAGTCACGCTTCAAGTAGTAATTCAAACTTTATTGAATATTGGATCAAAGAGTTTTACTCACTTAATGACTGTCTTGGAGCGATATGGCCAAGTCATTGCTAAGGTATGCCCAGATGAGGACAGGCAAGTAATGCTAATTAGTGAAGTGAGTACCTTCTGGAAAAATAGCACTCAGATGAATGCCATAGCCATCGATCGTATGATGGGCTATCGCCTGATTTCCAATTTGGCTATCGTGAGATGGGTCTTCTCTCCTGAGAATATGGATCAGTTCCATACATCAGATCGGCATTGGGAGATTCTCAGAAACGCTGTAAGTAAAACCTACAATCGTATTTGTGACCTAAGAAAAGAGATCTTCTCACTGAAGAAGCGTCTTCAATCAGCAGAAGAAGCTACTGCAAATGCTAAAGCAGAAGTAGAGGCAGCTGAGTCAAAACTCACACTTATGAATGGGGAACCTGTTGTTGGTGGCAATCCTATCAAGTTGAAACGCCTAATATCTTCTTCTGAGAAGGCAAAAGAAGAAGAGGTGTCTTTACGTGAATCCTTGGAAGCAAAAGAAGCTCTGCTCTTTCGTGCCCTTGGTGAAAATGAGGCCTTGTTCCTCTCCTTGTATAAGAACTTCTCTGTCGTCTTGCTTGATCGCCTTCCTGAGGACTCTCCAATCGGAACATCTCGCCTGCTCTCTAGTCAGACTGACTTGATGACTCTGGATTCTGATGAGCCAGCAGGAATGGATGTAGACCAAGAGAAAGGATTAAACAGTGTGTCTAACGGGGATAAAGGAAGCGCTGCTTACAATTTAAGTGAAACAGATCAATGGGGTTTATCAACACTGGGATATGTCAAGGCAATCACCAGACAATATGCTTCTGAGATCTGGCCACACGTTGAGAAGATAGACGAAGAGATTCTGAGAGGAAATGTGCACCCTCTTTTCAGGAAAGCAGTGTATTGTGGTCTAGGTCGAATAACTGATGAACAATGATTGCGGTATTTATTAATCAGGAAAACAGCTTATTAGGGTCTAGATAGGTTAACTGATGAGCATTGTTCACAATCCGCAAGTTATGTATGGAAAACATTTTAGTTGTAAATTAGGAATATTTGAAGTTTTTACCTCATAATTGTTGTCTTGATTTTGTTCCAAGATTATGTGATTGTATCTTGTTTGAACTTACTGTAGTTTTTAAATTTATTTTTGCTTTTGTTACATGTTTTTTTATTATTATTATTTTTTAAAAACTATACTTAGTACGGAGTATTAATTTTAGTAAATTAAATTAGGTCATAACCTTATTGTGGGGCACTAAAAGACAACAAAGTGAAATTTCTGCTTTAGTGAACTTCAAACGTGAAATTCACCGGAGTTTAGCATCAATCTAAATCTGTCCTATCACTAGGACAAATGTTGTTGCTCGATTAAAAGAACAAACTACGAAGTATGTCACTATGTGGTTGTTGCTTCTTTAGTTGACCCGTATAATGATGCTAAGATGATTTGATTTCTTTTGCTAAAGATTCTTCTAAGCCAATATATATTGTATACAAGTCAATCATGCTTGGTAAGAAAAAACTACCATTCTTGGTAGCATAAAAAATTAATCCAAAAAATTTCCATATTTTATACATGCACTTGGATGTATCTAGACGCATAACTAGATGCACCACTATTGTCTTTTTACATTTTATTTGGGTATTATTTTTTTTAAAAAAACATCTCTAGGTGCAGCTATAAGAATTTTAACAACAATTTTACTTTTTTTTCTTTAACCTATAGCTTGTATAGCGTACAACTTTATATTTTTTTTTGGAACGAAGTAGCAAAGGGATAATTAGCAAAAGAAGTTAAGCATTAGAATTTAGAAGTTTTTGAATCACGGGAATCATTTGGAACCATTAAATGTTATACATGTGTTGGTGATTAGAAAACATGGATTATAACCTTCAATTTTGGAGAATGTTCAACCTTTTGGACTAAAAAAAGAAAGAGCGAGGACGAGATGCTTCTTATAAATAACACAAGAAGACCTTAGGATGCCACTTGGATGATTAAAGTCATCCACTTTGCCTCTTAACTATTAAAATAACTAGTATAGTGATTGTATATGGTTCAAAATAACGAGAAAATATAACCTAGTAAAAAAAAAAAAAAAAAAATTACACTAGAATCATCTCCCACTACACTTGAGTTTTTGACCTTAGGTCCTGAAATCTTCAAAAAATGGTTTGATTTCATGTATTATAGCTTTCAACTATAGTCTTTGGAGAAAATTTTCATGCCCAAGCAAGGTTTGGCATTCTAGTGTACTAGGGAGGCCTATTCGGTGCTTGGAACCATTTATTTCATGTCTTAGCTTACCCCTCGTAATATTGTCTTAAGATGCCTTGGCCATGTCATGCCTAGCTTTGACTTGGTCTTGCTTCTTGCTCATCATTCTCCTCATCAACAATGTCGCTAAGGCAAGCCAAACGTTACCCTCTATATTAATTTTTTTTTGTTTATATATATAGATGAGTTGTCAAGTTGTATATGCTATATAATGGATAATCTTGTACAACATGTCATTAAATGCATATAAGAAAATATTTTGAGATAAAAGGTAATCCTTTGATGAATAGACACTTTAGACTCTTGTATTTTAGATCCAATAGTGTTCTTCAAGTTAAAGACCAAATATCCTCACAAAACCCTTATTGTAATTTGTAACTGTACCCCATGAAACTCTATTACGTGGCTTTCAAGTTAAATCTGGATTAGATCGCCAAATGTTTCTCCATACCATATCTAAAACATCAAGTACTTCGCGTTAAAAACCCAATTAAGCTACTCTAACTACATTGACTAAATCCACTAAATACCTTCAAAAGTTATTTACAAACGACCCTATATGAGAAAATATGTTCAGGCGACAAATTATAGGTCATGTAAAGAGAGTAGATAGCGTTTTAGTAAGAAAAATATATTTTTCTAATTCAGATGACGATTAAATCTTAACAAATAATTTTGAATATTTTATGACCTAATAATGAGAAAATGAGATAGAATTCTAGAATAGCATATGATGTTTACCATACTTACATACCAATAATATTTCCCTTTTAAAAAAAATGAAAAAGGAATAAGAAAAAAAAGATAAAGAGTATCTAATTATACAAGCCGTAGGATGAATCAAACAAAATCCAACCATTTGATTAACTTGGAAAGTTGAATCTGAACCGTCCAAAAATTACAAAAAATTCAATTTCAAAACCTCTGAAACTGAGAGGGAGAGAGCCAGAAAGCAAAGCCCCTCTCTCATTCTCCTCCTTCTCCTTCAAATCCCCTTTTCTTCTCACTTCTTTCACTTTCTCTCTCCTCAAATTCCCTCCTTTTTTTCTTCTCTCCTCAGCTTAAAGATCGCACCTTTATCCAATTTCATCACTCGAACATTCTTGGGTAAATTCTCGATTTTTGTCCAGCTTTGAAAGGATTGTAATTTGTGTGATTTTATTCGAGTTTGTTTGGTGATTTTCTGGGGTTTTTCTTGGAATTTCGATCAAAAAGGTGGTGAATTTGGTGTTTTTTCAAGGGTAGTTTACGGAAATTAAGCTCGGATTTTGATTTCGTTGTGTAATTTTAAGGTTTAGTGTTTTTTGAATTTTTTGGTTTTCCCTAAAATTGGAGAACGAAATTGATTGATTGGGGTCAATGGAGGAGAGAGATGAAGGCGGGAATTCGCTTCCGAAATCGAGTATGGCTACTGATATACCGGCGAAGAAGCTCGCTAGGCAGCTTGATTTCACCTCCATTAGTGGCGCGTCTCAGCCACCTACCACCTCAGTAGTTCAGCCTCCTTCTACGCCATCAGCGCAGCCTCCATTGCCTCAGCCGCCTTCGCAGCAGCTGATGATTACGCCTTCGCAGCAGCCACCTGCTCAAACGCCACCTCTCCCTTCAATGCGAGTGGTGTAAGAGTTCCAAATTTCCAAATATTTTCCCTCCTTTTTTAAAGTTTTGATTCAAGTGTTTTTTTGGGATTTTTTTTTTACTTTCTGTTTTGAATTAGGAACCACAATCTTTCATATTTTTGTAAATGATCTTATTATCTTGTGTGATTTGCAGTTGCATTGTTTGATTAGGCTTTAGTTGTTGATGTTCTGAATTTGGGTTTTTGAATTTGATCAAATGAATTTTGAAATTGGGAACTTTTATCAGTCTATATTACTTCTGAATGTCACATTGCAATAAATTTATTGTTCCTTTGCGATTTTTGAAGTTAAACTCGACTGCTATATTTCGAAATTCATGTATGTAGAGGGTTGATCGAAGAAAAAATATTATAAATTCATGGTTTATTATTTATTCGTCAAATCAATGGACTCTATATTTGCTCTAAGTAGTATATTTAATACAAGATTGCTCATTTATATAGGATCAATTCAATTTCCTCATTTTTTTTGAATCCTCGTTGCAATTTAATTTTTTCTTTTCCGGCTTGTTTTTGGACTCATTTATTACTAGGTTTTCCTTTTCATGGTTGCTGTGTTACCTAATATCATCAATGTCATTGGATACCTAAACTGATCTGTTGTCGAGTGGTTTTAGAAATGGACATTGTTTTGTTCTGTATAAGGGGTCATTGCTTTACATAGACATGGCCTACCCTACCTGTTGCCGGAATTAGGTTACCTGTGATGACATGTGCAGAGCCTCCACCTTTACATTGCTTAAGTCATTTTGATGTTAAAGTTACTAATTTACTATAACATGATTTTGAGTTAAGAGTTAATTTGAAATGAATTTATGTTGTGTATATATTATTGCATACATGTTTGAATGCTTGTGTTCTTAACAGTTTATAACACACCACTTAAATAGTTATATTATATTGCTGATTGATGTAATATATTTTTCTCCAGAAAGCCAGAATCCCCTAAGGCACGATCACGGCCTACTGTTGAAACCAAAGATGGTACTCCAAAGAGGCAGAAGCAGTGTAATTGTAAACATTCACGATGCTTGAAGTTGTAAGTTCATCATTTCCTCTTTTGGGTTGCACGGCAAGTTCCTGTAACTTTTGGCACTATTTCACCATGACATTTCAATGTGTGCACTTGCTTTATTACTAAGGTGTCTTGTACCCTAAAAGCATCGTCTAGGTGAAAAATGTGAAATAAAATTGTATCTTCAACTTCAGTGTAGCTTAAGAATCACTTATCTAAGATTGCTTCACACTTTATGAACTTTTGGGTGTGTTATTTTGAATATTCTTAGCTAAAGATACAGCATTTCTCTGTGAAATCTATACAAGTCTTTCATATATACAGCATTTCTCTGTGAAATCTGTACAAGTCTTTCATACAATCATCTATTCCTTGCACGTGCTGTCTTGTATAACAGTAAAGAGGCTAGTGCCTCCACAAATCCCCCACCCCCCCCCCCCCTTTTTTGAGAAAAGGTCCTCACCAGGATGCTACTCTCCATTTCTAAAATACATTATATAACTTTTTGCTCACTCGCTGACTTTTTTTTTGCTTGATCATATTTGTTCTAGTGCTTCCTTATCTCCACTTAAGGCTTGATTAATGTGCATACTCTATGATGATAAACATCTTGCATAAGGTACTTATATTCCAAAAACATTTAATATTCCAGCCTGAGCCGTAGAAAATAATAAAATCAAGGCCGTTCCCTAATTATAGCAAATCCTACTTTGTTTTTTTCACGCATAAGCTTTGCATTTGAATAATTTCATCGTGGTAGTAATCTTATATTTCTAAAAAGGCTTCTAGGTTAACCAAAGTAAGAGAGGTTTATCACGTGCTACCATCCACATTTCCAATTGGTCTTTAACTCAATATGTCATTACCAACTACTTTATTGCATAAGGGCTTATATTCTCTACAGCCTCAACCTGGAAATGGACAGTGAAAAGAATCTTATTTGCAAATAGTGGTAAATACCCCCTCCGTCCCTATTTTTATGCCCTGTTTTCCTTGTTAGAATGTTCTTAAATATATGTCCACTCCATCTATTGTCATATGTTCCCACCACTAAACTCTCTCATTAACTGCATATTATCCCACTACCCCAATGGGCCGTACTATATTACTTATAGAGATAAATGAATCATATAATTGTGAAATAAGAGAATGAGCAATGAAATAGAAGTTGTGATACAGTTCGCAGTGACCAAACTATTTCCCATCCTTTGAAAGACTTTATAGTTGATTTGAGTTTAGATTTTGAGCCGGTGCTTGTTAAACTTCGCAGACAATTGATGTATATTAGATCAAAGGTGACTAAGAATAACCTGTTGATTGATCCCAAAAGTTATATTACACCTCCACTGGCTCCACGACTCTACCAGACCTTATCTTCCCTAGGGTAAGTCGTAGGAGCTTCTTGTAATGGCATTACGGTAACATTATAATTCTTATAACCCTATCCAAAAAAAGACTTAAGACTTGTATGAATTTATACACTCCATCTAGAATTAGTTAACTCACTATCCCGAACCCTTTAAGGATAAGACACAAATTAAAAAAAATTCAATTATTAAAACTATTATTTCAGAAAGGTGACTCCTTTTTCTCGACTCCTAAAATTTTCCAATACTATATGTGACTTTTAATTCCAGATGGAAGGAGTATTTAATTAGTTACTTGACTGCTTTTCTTGAGGAAGTTTAATCGAGTCTTTCACAGTTTACTTAGCACAACTTATACCCTTCTCTTCTCTTTTTTTTTTCCCCCTTTTTTTGGGGATGAGACTGGGATGGGAAGGTTACAGGGATGATTTGGGTGATATAAATGTTGGAATATCTATGGAGGTTCTATGCTGTGCCTGTCATTGGTTACAGAAGTAAGGTTGATCACCTGCCTCAGCTGCATCATCAAAGTTTAATATCTGTTAGACTGTATTTCTGACAGAGCCTATTGGGATTTACAAATAACATAGAACAAGGTCAAGAGGCCTTAGAGCTTGTTATGCTGACTTTTATTCATCAAACAGTATGCCGTTGTGGCATATATAATAGACAGGTCAACAGTTGAATGGGCATGAATGCTTGTGCTAGATTGTGATCTAAACTGAAGATATTATTTATGTATTTATTATACTCCAATCTTTATCATAAAATGTGTCAATCTTCAGGAAAGATAAAAATAAGAGAAGATACCATCTATTGTTTTAATCTTTTGCTAATTTCCTAACGTAAGTGTTTCCTTTTATCCTAATGAAGAAACTTTAACACCTTTGCAAAAATCTCTTAAAAGGGTTGGGCAACTTTACATTGTGGAGGAAGTAGATCTAGAGTAATAAATAAGCGACCAATAATTGTTTTAATCTTTTGCTAATCTCCTTACATAAATGTTTCCTTTTTGTTCTTTATGACTTGAAAACATCTCTTAAAAGAAGTTGGGCAGCTTTACGCCGTGGGGAAGTAAATCTAATTATCTAAAGCAATAAATGAGTGCATTTCTATACATGAGCAGTTACTACATACTCCCTCCGTTTTTTTGTTTTTCTATCTTTCAAATTTATCCACTTTTAGACAATATGACCACCACTTTTTATCTCACATTAGTTACATACACTTGAAAATTTCAAATTTAACCATTTCTGTACAAACCTTAATTTTGGTGAAAATGCTAATGAGTAAATTAGAAGAAGAAAAAAAACTCGGAGGGAGTATATGCTAGGTTGTGTATATACTATAGACCAAATTTACTGCTCCTCCATTTGTACTGCACAAACTGTTTTCTGTATATCTCGACTTTTCTCTTTATATTACCAATTTTATTGAATTTAAAGCTCATAGTCAAATTTTTGTAAGCCTTCTGTTCTTGTGAGATTATCGTGCTAGATTTGTGGCTTTTAAGCTCGTGTCTGTGAAAATGTCAATTCTGGGACTTACATGTGTTGTGCAGGTATTGTGAGTGCTTTGCTTCTGGAGTTTACTGTGATGGGTGTAACTGTAATAATTGCTGTAACAATGTCGAGAATGAGGCTGCTCGAAGAGATGCTGTTGAAGCTACTTTAGAACGTAACCCAAATGCATTTCGACCAAAAATTGCAAGCAGTCCACATGGCATTAGAGACCGCAGGGTATGTTTCTTTTTTGTATTGATATTCAGTTATTCACCTCTCTCCTAGATAATTGAATATTGGAAGTTATGGAATCTTCCGTCATTCCATCTCAGTATCAGTGTATACTTTGTCTGAAAATCTGAATCCTAAGAAATAAGTATACTGATATCTTCACAGGCTTTATAAAATTTTTAGCAATATGCCTTGGTATTGGGTGCATCAACTCTTAATTGGTAAATGATACTATGATGCATATTAAGAAGATTTCAGCTCTTGTAGCATCCATAAAATCCCATGTACTATTGTGACATAACCTATAACCTTAGAAAATCTGTTCCAACTTAACCGGAAAAATGTTCAATAATGTGCTTTGCAATATAAGCTAGAAACACAAATTAATATGTTCAGACATTTAATTACTTTACTTTGTTACATATATCTGAAATACTCAATAATGACTGTTTTACCACTATGGAATTGGATGTACTTTTGTTGTTTTCTTGCAAGGTTAAGTTGCCTTTGCAGTTATCTTTATACTTGCCTATGAAATTTAAATATGTCGACTAATCAACTATAATGCTACAAATGAATCTTTCCGTCTGGAGGTACTTCTGTTACTAGTCGTTATATCTGTATACTAAATGATGAAAGTGGTTGTAATCATGATCCATTACTTGATGGTTTCAATTCATTTTCTGCAAAGCTAACTACTTTATATCTATGGAAGTTTGAGATTGTAGCTATTGTAAGTGATTATTCATAGACAAAATAATATTTTGGCATTACTTTCGCTACTAGGTTGTTTTAGTAAGCATATGCTTACTTCATATGGCTGTCGTTCATACAGGAAGATGCTGGAGATGTTGTGGTGGCGAAGCACAACAAGGGATGCCATTGCAAAAAGTCAGGGTGTCTGAAGAAATACTGCGAATGCTTTCAAGCTAACATTCTATGCTCTGAAAACTGCAAATGTATTGATTGCAAAAATTTTGAAGGAAGTGAAGAGCGGCAGGCTCTTTTCCATGGAGAACATGCAAATAACTTAACTTACATGCAGCAGGCAGCCAATGCTGCTATTACTGGAGCTATTGGATCATCTGGTTTTACTTCTACACCCAATTCCAGGAAACGAAAGGGCCAGGACCTCTTATTTGGACCAGCATCTAAAGATCCGTCTCTTTCAAGAGTTGGGCAATTTCAGCAGGTAATTCAGTCATCACTCATCAGTCACAATGTCGCAATATACAAATTTCAAATTGCTAATTCATGTAAATGCATCTGTTTTGTTACCAGAAAGCTCATTTACTTGCATAATTGCTTGATCTTCTAATTATGGATATTTTCATTCAACATGATCTAAACTTTCCAGTGCACTTCCCGGGTTATATATATGTATTCACAATTGACATGACTTCTTAATCAGGCAAACCATGTCAAAACATCAGGACCGTCTGCAGTATCTTTAAGCCCTGCTTCTCGAGCTGCTAATTCTGTTTCACTAGGTGCTTCAAAGTTTACATACAGGTAACTCCTTGTTACTGTTGAAACTCAGAAATAATGCATCAAGAATATCTTCTTTGAGGCATGAGTATGTATATTTTAACTGAAATAGGTTTCAAACTAATTTTTGAATCTCGATAATAGGTCTCTCTTAGCCGACATCATCCAACCACAAGATGTGAAGGAGCTTTGCTCAGTTTTGGTAGTTTTATCTGAAGAGGCTGCCAAAACAATTGCAGGTAAACATTTTATTCAACTATGAAGAACTGTTATCTGGAATGGACATATTTCCTGGCATCCGTGCCTGGATAGATAGTTGCACATCTCTGGGACCTTTCAAGAAAATTCTCTATGCCTTTTGGTATTCAATCAATCAATCAATCAAAGCCTTAATCCCATAAGTGAGTATTGATAAACTTTAATTCCGCAAAAAATTCTTAATCACCTTATGGTGTCAAAACTTATGGGTAGCATATCTCTGGGGATCTTTCAAGAAAATGGGATTTTGGTTTGACCGTTTGATAGATATTAGTGTGTCCAACTCATCTTGTTGAGGTTTCTCCGTAAATATTGATGTGCTTGATTGTTTAGCTGTTTGTTTGCTCATTTATGTGTTGTATCATCAACCTTGGTATGCATTTGCAATTTTTAGTGGCGTATCTCTAGAATTAGAGGTAGCTAGTTCACACATGCCACATTTTCCAGTAGATGCTACCAACATCAACATTTTCCAGTAGATGCCACCAATGTAGAAAAGATAAGTTGCTGGTGGTTGGAACTTGGAAAAGTCCTCAACCCTTTTAATAATTAGTCATACTTCCTCCGTTCTCTTTTAGTTGCAACATTTTGACTTTCACGCTTGCCAATGCATAATTTCAACTCATTATATCTCTAATATAGATAGGTAAAAAATAAAAATATTTGATACTGTAAATCGAGATGAATCTAACAAGATCCTACATGACTAAATTTTGCCCACCAATTAAATCTAAAAAGGTGGTCAAATGAAACAACATGAATAGTGCAAATTTCTAAATGTTGTAGCTAAAACCAAACGGATGAAGTATTTAGGTACTATGTCACACAACTGATACAAGTAAAGAATCTACCGTCATACATTGCCATTCTCTTAGCACCACAAGCTTCATCTATGTAATGGCTAAGATATGCAAGGTGGGATGGGGTGGGGTGATATAATAAAGGTGAATTTTGGTATTGCTCTCATTGTTATCTATGAAAGTGCAACTCGTAAGTCTATAGCATCTCTGTCATTTTTACATACAGGCTTTTAGAATTGGTGCAATTTGACATCAGAGTACAGGAATAATAGTTTAATTTTATTTTTTTTATTTATTTTTATTTTAATTTTATTATTATTATTTTTTAATCTCTAAATCTGGAAGTGATGTTCTTTCTTTAACAATTTGTGCCATTGATCTTTCAAGAATGCCTCTTATGAGGTTAACTTTATCATAAACAAATGTTTATTATATGTATCTTTGTTTGTTATAAATAGTCCTTCAGTGTTTAATGACTCTAATAATGTCCGATGGTATTAAATTGTGCTTAGATTGTATTATCTTAATTCCAACAACAAATTCTATTTTGGTACCTTGGGCCTTGGTAATACCATCTAAGCACAATATAATACCAACGAACATTCTTAGTGTTATTGATAGAGTATTTCTCGGTGACTGAACATCTCACTAAAGGAGATGTGCTTCTTGCTACCTGTCAAGTTGTCTTCCCGTCATTAGCTTTTATAGAGGAGATTAGTCTTACTTATGCTGGAAACCTGGACATGATCTTTTTAATTTATTCTACTTAAAGTACTAATATATTTCATAGTTATGTTGTGTAAAGAAGTTATTTATATTCAAGCAAAATTGATGCTGATTTTCTTACAACTATTGCTGCCACTGTGACTTACTCATTACCACCTTAATTTGCCTTTATAATGATTTTTTTTTTCCTTTTGTGGCTGAAGTATAAATAAATTGTTTTAATGATTTTGGTGCAAAAATACTTTTGAACATAATGCTGAAGACTTAGATTACAACAGTTAAAATTTGAATTTTTGCTCTGTTGAGATATAATGTTTTTGTGCCTTCAATCTGAGAGATGATTATATGTTTCTTTCTTACAGAATCTAATAAAGCTAACGAAAAGCGGGCAGATGATGGAGGAGAAAATCAACAGGCATCAACTCAGGACAGATTTCAGAGTCAAGATGATTCAGATGTGAAAACCGTACCTGATGGTTCTGTCAGTGGTAATCAAACTGATCGAATAGTCCCTGACGATTCTAATTTAGATGGGAATGATCAACCGAAATCCAGGCCAATGTCTCCTTTGACACTAGCTTTGAGGTGTGATGAGCAAGATACAATGTTCATGGCTGCGGGTTCTCCGAGTAGGTTAGGCAACCATGTCCATGCGTCATCTTCACAATGTTCAGAGCAGAGCACTTCAGAGGTGTATGCCGAGCAAGAGAGAATCGTTATGACGAAGTTTAGAGATTCCCTCAACAGCCTTATTACATTTGGAGAGCTAAGAGGTGAGTGTGTCATTTCTGTCAAAATTAGTAGTTTAAAATCTTGCGATTGCAGTATCATTATTTCTTTGAGGGTTTCATAAATTCGATCTCACGGTTCAATATCCAATTGAATTTGATAAATATAAAGCTATGAATATTGCTTGTAATCAATTTTGCATGAAGTTTCATATCATTTCAATCAGGTTTAGTGGTCTAAAATCTGTAGTAACCCTGTGAGAATTTCATTATACCTTTAAGCATTTTTTGTGTATTGAGCAAATTTGAGCTTAGGGTTCATTTTTAAAATTAATCTTGCAACCTTTGTGTTCACTACTCAATTTCATAAATCTGTAGATCTTTTATCCTAAGCTTTGTGAACAATGCTAGTATTCTGATTTGCATATAATATATGTGTATGAGACTGATTTTACTAGTGAAATGATCATCTTATTGGGTCAGACTTCTTTTTTTCCCTCTCTTTTTCCTCACCTTTCGCCCTCCTTTTCTGCTGATCCATATAGGCAGTCAATCGAAATAAAATATTCTTTACCCTTCTGGTATGGGGAATGATAGCCTGAGGGGTCTTTTATTTGTGAGAACCATTATTTGCTTGGCAATTTCATGAAACAAATGCTTGATATCATGTAGTAAGTCTTCCTTTCATAGATTGAAGTAGAATCCAAGTTTCAAAATTCTCTGTTATTTATACAACTAGACTAATTAGCTAGATTGCCATACAAGAATGAAACCATATATTACAATAGTGTAAAATGGAATAATGGAGACATACAATGATTAAAATAATATAAACAGGGTCATCTTATGCCTATATTTTTGCCCACACCCTAAACATTCATATGGTGTTGCTTTAACCTGTGTTTTTCAATTTGTAACAAAGATCGTCCTTTCTGTAGGCTATACTCGTTATAAGACCTAGGAAGGTGAAGGTGTAAGTTTATTACTTTAATGAGAGAAAAGGGTTTTGGGGGGGGGGGGGGATGTTATTGGAGGTTGTGGTGGTGGAGAAAACTAAGAAGGAAAGAAAAGCTACTTGTAGTATATAAAGCACGCCTATTTCTTGAGGCTCCTACATAAAAATAGGTCTAGGTGATGCTGCTTACATCGTTTATATCAATGTGTTTCCCTCTTATTTCTTTAATTGGCAAAGCTTAGTTTTAACACTAATCTACCTACCTAATTGGCCAAAACAATTAGATCCATAGAGTATGCTCCTTTCCTTCTCACACGATGGTCTTTATGAAAATTGCTAGTTTAAGAAGGTATCTTTTAGTACAATTATCATTTATTTGCTTTTGACAATTTTTTGTTTCTCTGTACAGAGACAAAACTTTCTTCCTTAGCTAGATCGAATTATACAAGCTTTCAAGAAACCGGCAATGGCACTGCCAAATTGAGAACTGATGGTCAGAATCAGCAAGATCATAACAATGGTGTAGCTAAACCTGTCATTACAGCACCAATCAAGACTCCTGCAATGATTGCAGCTACCATTACTGCTATTCCGTCCAATAATCATATCAGCCAAAATCCTCCTCTGACTGAAAATGGTGATGTAAAGCCAAGCATCTAAAAGGACTATAATTATATACATAAACGAATTGGAGATTGCACTGACAAGCCCAAGCTGCTGTGCTGATACAAGATGGTGATGATGTTTGTAGTCATTTCACTGTCAGAATCTCCCTAATTTAAACAACTGACAAATGTCATTGTAGTTCAAGATTAAAATTTCCAAAGGATGTAAAATTGATAATTTGTGTACAGGCACTAGTATCTTGTATTGGTAGATGCTAGTGTTTTTTTTCCGGTCATTTAGTTTAGCCTAAGATGGAGCAGATTTTTTTTTACTTTGTGCTCTTTATAAGAATTTGCTGTTATGTATAACAAGCAGCCAATCATTATACAATAGCATTGTACATGGGATATCTGCTTACCTTCCTTTCACTATAAAGGTGAAATAGTAGTTGATTTTTCCATTACAATTTCAATAAGCTTATGCAGTGAAAGTTTTATCATGAGCGCGGTCTTTATCCACTGTGTAAGTATTACTACTTATTTTTTCTCCTAATAGGTTGAGAAAACACACATTTGAGAGCAAAGACCCCCCAAAACCGAAGGCAAGCTTTGTTATACCACTCGTGATTTCCTTAGTTATGAGTGTGCAGTTAGTTTTGAGTTAAATCTGTGCTGTTTGGTAATGTTGCCAACATTAACTGTCGATACTCAATATTGAGAAACTGAACATGAAGGAAAATGCTGAAAAAGGGATGGTCATCTAAGGCATAACAGAACCTGTTGAGTCATAGCATTTTGCATTAATGAACTTAAAAATGAGGTTGGGCTAAGAATCATGAAGCTAAAATGTTTAAGTAAAGTCTTTTTGTGGAGACTCAAGACCCAAAGCACCCTCGAAATGGCTTAATTCAAAAATATTGTTGTGATTGTGTCCCTTTTTTATGTTGCTTTATAGAGCAAAGTTCACTTTATTTAGAAGTGAGGTAAAATTGTGCACATGAAATTGCAATTGGTGTTGGTGAAGAGAAAGAGGGAGATATCAAGTAGGGTTGCAACTTGCAAGTGGGAAATTTGCTGGGAAAAAAAAAGGCAATGATCAATTACAAAGGAACACCATAAATAAAAAGGAATATGAGACAAACAAAAAGGGTTGAAGAGAGTAGTAACTTAATCAAGAAATTTATATCTAAGGACAAAGTTGTCAACTCATACTTTATTACTATAAAGTAGGGGGAGGAACAAGACAAAAAAAACTCAAAGTTTCTAATCGTAAATGTTTGTAATGAACAAAATTTGAAGTTCCAAACAAATCGAAGAATTCTCTCAAATCATTCCTAATGTTTTCAAATATACTTGCTCTTAGGCTACCAAAAACACTTTGCCAATAAAAAAAATAATGAAAATCAAGGCTAGCAATAGATTATGAGTGGGTGTTGTTTAAGAATTGAAAAAAGTTAAATTTATGAGAGAAAACGCATAAAAATGACATTTTCCTATTGTTCTCACTTGGAGGTTTTTTTTTTTTTTTTTTTTTTTTTTTTTTTTTTTTCTTCGCTGGTAAGTGATAAGGTAAAGTAAAATTAAGATAAAACTTGGATCAATTTTCTAATCAACTTTTAAATATTGTAATACAAGTATCAGTTTATCTGTTTATCCTCTGTTTCTGCTCTTCATTACATTCTATCTACTCTTTCACCCCTTTCTTCTTCACAATCAATTCCAGATGTTAACACAAGATCTCACCTTCTCCAAATCCTTAAACCCATTTTCTCTCTCCTCCCAAAAATGGAAACACCCTCTTTTCACAAAACCCTTCAACCCAATTTCTATCCCCAAATCCCCTGTTTCTTGTTTCCTTAAACCCTACCAAAACCCTAAACCACCCCCTTCAATTACCCACCAAAATTCCGCCACCAATCGCCGCCTTCTTCCCCACCCACCTTCCGCCGGACGCAGCAAGAAAACCCCCAAAACCGGCCGCATTGAAGGCAGCGCCGAGCTTCGCCGCGAGGCGAAGCGCAATGCGCGGCGAAAGTCCCGAAAGTTGGCCGAAAGCCTGTTTTATAGGCTGAAAAACCCACATAAAAGTTACCCTGATAATTTTTCTGAAGATGAATTACAGATGATTGGGTTAGGATATGATAGAATGGTTAGGTTTATGAGTAAAGATGATCCAAGACTTAAGCACCCTTATGATTGGTATAAGTATGGTGAATTTGGACCTTATTCTTGGCGTGGGATTGTTGTTGGTGACCCGATTCGTGGAAGAATGTCTGATGAGTGTGCCACAATCATTGGTGAGGTTAGAGACCAGGAAGAGTGGGAGAAGATTGAGCAGCATGAGATGGCTGAGAGTTTTGGGAATCGATTGCGATCATTCGATATGACTTTGGGTTTACAGAACTATTGGGTGTTTGTTAGGCACCCGAGATGGCGGCTTGGTGATCTGCCGTGGGAGCAGTGGACTTTGGTGTGTGAGGTTGTGCTCGAAGCCGGGGATCAAAGGTTGGATAAGTGGAATTTGATGGGGAGGTTGGGGAATAAGACTAGGGCAATGATCACTCAATGTGCAGCTTGGATGAGGCCTGATATAATCTATGTTAAGAGACCGGTTTATCAATGTCGATTCGAGCCTCAGGTGAACTTCTTTAGGGCAATGCTGCCGTTTCTTGACCCGGAAACGGAGAATGACTATTTGTTTGAGTTGGAGGATGATGAGGGGAGAATTGAATTGGTTACTTACTTTGGTGGGTTGTGTAAGATTGTGAAGGCGAGTCAGAAGGCGTATGTGGATGATGTAGTCAAGGCTTATGAGAAGTTGAGTGATGATAAGAAGTCTAAATGTTTGGAGTTTTTGTTGACGAATCATCCTGTTCAGCTCTTGCATCCTTGGACTAAGGAATGGAAGGCCAAGTTGGAGGAGATGGAGATGGGATGTGATGCTCCTGATGATGATGACGAGGGTGGTAGTTTGAATCGTCTAAATGCTAATTTAGAGTTTAGTGAATGGATTGAGGATGACAATAATGATAACAATGACAATGATGAGGATGAGGAGGATGATTACGACGCAGATGACAATGTTGTGGTGAACACAAATGAGGAGGAGAATGAGGGATTGGGATTGCAAGAAGATGATTTAGATGATGAAGAGGATGAGAATTATTGGAAAACTGAGTTTGAGAAGGCAATTAAAGATAATAATGAGATGGAGAATTTTGTGAAAAAAAGTGTTGAAAGAACGAGCAAAGTGTATGAAAGGCAGTTAAAGGCAATGGAGAAGAGTGAAAGTAGTGGTAGTTACAAGAATGATGGCGATAATGATGGCAAGAGCAACGACAGTGACGGTGAGACTTCTATGCGGGGTAAAAGAGCCAAGGTGAGTCCAGAAGAATGGAGAACTATTGGGATGGGACCTTGGAGGAAGAAGACTAAGAAGAGTAAAATTCCTCCTGAACTTTTTCTGAGAGCTGCTGTTAGACCTTTTACCTACAGAAATCTTGTCAAGGAAATTGTATTAACAAGGCATGCGATTTTAGATGGCGAAATCGAACTGGAGAAGTGAACCATTGTTTTTCACTTTGAAGTTCTGCCTGCACCATTTTATGTAAGAGTTCTCCAAGTTCCTTGAATTTAGTAGTAGTAAACTATTAGTGTTGTAACCTGTAAGTGCTTTTTTTTTTTTTTTTTTTAAGCAATCAGAGGTTTGGGAGTTTTCCTTAAATTTTAAAAAATTACTAGTTACGAAAATAGAAGGATAATAAATGAAACTGCTGGCTATGCCTCTGTTGGATCTGTACCCTGCGCTAGGCTAGTCATTTCAGACCAACGTGCCATGTTATGCTAACTACAAAAACTGTGAATCATATACCATAGTTGAGAGAAATTGAGCACAGTTTTATAAATTATAACATTGTTCTGCAATAAAATGCAACTCGATTTCTTTTATACAATTTCATTTTTAGAATCAATCTATTTGATTGTTACAATACTTTTATTTAGATCTCTATCCTTTCCCTTACCACAATCTTTGCGAGGAAAGGGGAGGACGGCTAAAGGAGAGTGAAGGGGAGGGGATTATTGAACAACTGATGTGAACTCCTAAAACTAGATCTCACTGTATGTAGTGAGCCACGGAATGTCAAATGATTCCTTTGTCAGATTCCTTTCTCAGCGTGGTGACATCCTACAAGCGCGACTTTGAAGCTGATGATGAAGCAGGTGCACTCTGCAAGAAAGAGGATATGCTACACTGTGAGGCAGACATTTTGGTGTTCCCTTATAAAAATCATTGCAAAAGGTGGCACGTTCATTTTAAATCCACAAATAAATTGGATGACATTATAAAAACTTAACTATTATCTGTATAATTATTGAAAGACTTTCTGATCCACTAATAAATACTCCATTATTTAAGCAAAATCAAGAACACTAGATTTTTCATAGCGTCCCTTTTCTTTCTTTCATTTTTTTTTTCCTTCTATTACTAGGAGGATTGGGAAGATAGTTATTTCTGACAAATGCCAGAAATGCTTCTCTTCAGAAATGATAATTAATTTCCACGAATCCTAGAAGAAATATAACGATCACAATAGTTGATGCAATAAAAGAAAGAAATGGCAGCTGGGAAAAAGATAATGCACTAACCAGTAACAAGCCTTTGGTAACTCTTTCCTCCAAGAATCGAGATGGTTTAAAGAAATTGCCGTACAGGTTCGACCACTTCTTCAGACAATTGTATATATGGCTTGGCCCAACAGTATCAGCCCAGAAAACAAGACCACCACTGCAAGAATGTAAAAAAATTTCAGTAACTTGCCATTAAATATTTACATTGCTCTCTAAAAGTAAGAATTTTCAGAAAAATTTTCAAACTCAAAAGTCAATCCAGTTGAAAGACAGACCGATATGAAGGGAAACTCATCCCAAGAACAGAAGCTACATCAAGATCAGATGCTCGAACCACCACTCCTTCATCTAGAACACGACATGCCTCATTCACCACTGGAAAGAGTATCATCCCCAAAATATCTTGGTCTGATACAGATATAGGCTGCATAGAAAGGGAGAGAGCTCACCAAAGATTCACTACTTACGAGAATTTAATTTAAGACTGCTACTATCACTTCTTTACCTTTCCGCCTGGCATAATATTAGTCACCCTCCTAGATTCTTCAATGATGGGCAGCACGGAGAAATCAGGTTTTGGCTTGCTACCCTTTTCATAAACATAGTATCCTTTCCCATTGTTTTTACCTGTGATGCCAGAAACGTCAACAGAATTATGACAACAGATAAGATAAAAAAATCTAGAATAAATTCAGCAATCAGCAGGCTTTATAGCAATGATCATCATTATTTACCATTACGCCCATTTTTGACAAGAAGTTCAACTAATGGTGACTTAAAAGTACGATCAGAGAAGGAAGCATCAAATTCTTTTGCTACTGCAAGTGCAACTCCATATCCAGCTAAATCTTGAAGCCTGGAAAATTTATAAAGTGCTCATTCACCGTCCATATAGCCCTCAAGTTGATGACAACGAATAAATATCGACCAGAAAGATGGAATTAAATGTAAAATTATGACACATCATGAGAAGGTGGAGAAAATTACTGGAAAGGGCCAATAGGCAAGCCAAAATCACAAATCACTCTGTCAATCCTGAAGATATCAACTCCCAAGTTTGCCAAAAGATGAGCACTCTGGGAGTATGGGAAGAAAGCCCTATTGACAGCAAATCCAGTACAATTACCGACCACAACAGGCACCTTATTAATTGTTTTACCAACTGAGATGAGATCAAGAATAACTTGAGCCGAAGTCTTATTTGTCCGCACAATCTCCAGGAGAGGCATGACATGCGCAGGACTGTCAATCAGAAAGCCTTAGTAGAATTAGAAGAATACAAAGCCACGATTGCAAAATAATATAACAAATACCATATTACAACTGAACAGATCAGTTGAGCTTCACAACAAAAATCAGCATCGCAGAGAGAACCTTAGTAAGGCATCTGTACGCGATGGATTTTGCTGTTCACGGGGAATCACTCTCAGCCTCAGTCTAAGATGATTTTCTATTGCTATAATTTAGTACTATCTCTTTCTAAATGTTCTTGACAATTTGCACAAAAATTTTGGGCAGGAAGAGGATGAAATATTGGCCAACATGTGGCAAAAACATGAAATTGGGCCAATCACTGAAAAGTGATCAAGGATCTATTAAGAACGCATCTGAATTTCATCAAGAACAGGTTCTTATTTTTCTGGTATTGATCAAAAGAAATGAAGAGGCCACATGCAATTCCCACAAGAAAAGATGAATGGGTACTTCGATACTTCCTCTGACCTCTTGCCACAGATTTATAATGTCAGATATCAGTCTACACAGTATAAGACTTCTGATGTAGAAAGCGGGATGCTTCATGAACAGCAGAACAGGTGGTATTACAAAGAAAGAGGATGTAATATCATTTCAATACAAGACAAAAGTTTGGTCCTCGAAGGAAAAAGTACTGTAGCCTCAAACCGCCTTCAAATCTCTAACTAACGCCCGCAAAATAAAATATGTTTACAAATTTACCCTCATAGTTATAAACAAAGAATTTACCCTTACAATCATAAATTTAACCCACCACCACCATTTACCACAACCAGAATTTTCTCTCTTTAACAAAGCACCTGCCACCATTAATCTTCTCAATCTTTAAAAAATGTTCTCCCTTTAAACCACCACCACCACCACCACCATTTACCAACCCACACCACCTCCTTATACTAGCTTAATATAATTTCGCGTGGAAATGCCGAGGGACAAGGGGAAGGCCGTCGTCGAAGGAGTCGCCGGAGACAAGGTCAGTTTATTATTATTATTTTTTTTTTTCTTTTTCTGGAATTGGCGGAAACGCCCACTTTTCTCGCCAGATCTAGGCTGAAACGCCTAGAAATTTCGATCACCCATACGGTTATTCGAAAGATCTAGGCGTTTCACCCTAGATCTGGCGAAAAAAGTGGACGTTTCTGCCCTTTTTTAGTTTCTGGCGAGAAAAAAAAAATTCTAATTGAATGACGGGGGAAGTTAGTGGGCGTTTCACACTATTCATCTGTACCAGAAGAAAAGGAAGAAAGAAAGCAATAACGTGCACTAATCTTAAGAGAATTTGCAGATTAGAGTTAGAACCTTTTGATATATTAAAGTTATGAATATATATTAAAGTTACGAATATATATTAATTTGGCTTTTAATTCTTGCCTGGAGCAAATAATGGGCAACTTTGTTTTAATTTGTTTAGGCTGGGAGATGTACTAGACACTATTTATGCAGTAGTATATATTATTATACTCAATGCTATGGCCATTTTTACTGATTGAAGAGTAAATTCGATAATGTTTAATATTTTTATAACAAGGCTACGTACGTCATTTTAGGTTATTTTGCGGGCGTTAGTTAGAAATTCGAGGGCGACGTTTAGCGGCCCACAATTTATTGGAGGCAAATCAGCAACAAATTAGCAAAAAAAAAAAAAAAAAAAAAAAAAAAAAAAAATCAAGCAAAATTTATCTCACAGCTGCTAAAAAAATAAAGAATAAGAAAAGCACCAAACCTGAAAAAATGTGCACCAATAATACGTTCCTGAGAACTGGTCTTTTCACCAACCACATTGAGGTCAATAGTTGATGTGTTAGTTGCTAGAATGCAATGTGGAGGGCAGGTTTTCTCAAGGTCACTAAAAATTGTTTGTTTCAAAGGAACATTTTCGACAACAGCCTGGAAGACAGGATCAGACAATCTTAGCAAGTTATTCTAAAATTATGAGCCTCCCTGAATCAGGCCACTATATGCAATTACAATTACTACCCAATCTAAGCAAAATATTTTGAAACAAAGGTAGTACAAGAAAAATTCTTATCTTTTGTCATCATCTGCACCTAACTTAGCATGTAAAGAGTTTAAGACAACTAACCTCAATGACCATATCAGCATCTTTAAATTCTGAGTAGTCCAATACACCTTGGAGCAATGAAAGCGCTTTCTCTGCCTTGTCCTTCACCAGCTTCCCTCTCGACACTAAGCCTCTTATATTGCCTGCCACATGTAATATAAGATACAATGACATTAAATACTGACTAAAGGAGTATTGTCGATTCAATATCAATTAGAAAATAGGTCTGTATTGGGGACAGGAAAGGTAACCCAGTCACTACATGCAAAAGAGAAGTAAAGGTCAATCACTCAATTTCTATTTTTGACATCACTTCATCTACCTCAAACTTTTAGAGGAAAGAGAGCCAAAGAACACAATATCTGATGGAAGGATAAAACTACCTTGAATGGATTTAATTCCCCTGTCAAGAAATTCAGCATTTACTTCCTTCAACACAACTTGTATATTTCCCAAGAGTAGGGCAGTTGCAATGCCAGAACCCATTAAGCCCCCACCAATAACAGCAACTTTCTTCATACGTCTTGGTTTCAGTCCAACATCAGAAACACCAGGAACCTGTCACAAACGCATAGGAACATTTAAAAAAATAAAAAAAATTAGACATGTACCTTTATTAGAAGGAATAGCAACCATCAGTGACAAATTATTGAAGTATTGCCAATTTGCCAGTAAATGTAAGGGTAGAGTCAGTCAGTCAACATCTCAAATGCCCCCTTTTTTGGATGAGACAGAAGAAGGAAAAGGAGATTAATTAATTACCTTTGATGTCATACGCTGAGCAAAAAACACATGCACCAGACCTTTGGCAGTATCTGTTAAAACAAGCTCTTTGAAAACTTTGGCCTCCTATAACAATAATAGTAATTATCAGATTCAAAATTTGTTGTAAAACCATTCATAAAATATGA